TCACTTACGCGTTGAGGCTTGGACAGATGCTGATTATGCAGGATCAGTTTCAGATAGGAGGTCAACTTCGGGTTATTTTACCACTATTGGTGGTAACTTGGTTACTTGGCGCAGTAAGAAGCAGGATGTTCGTCTCTCGATCTAGTGCAGAGGGACAGTGTAGGGCTATAGCTCTTGGGGTATGTGAGTTGCTATGGCTGAAAACCTTGATGATAGACCTATGCCTTCCAGTTTCGCTTCCATTCTCACTCTACTACGACAACAAGTCTGCCATTAGCATAGTAGCAAATCCCGTTCAGCATGACAGGACTAGGCATATGGAGGTGGACTGACTCTTCTTTCGAGAGAAGATCATCTTTGGTCAAATTTGCACTTCATTTGTCACAAACTCTCAGCAGTTTGCAGACATTTTTACAAAGGGCGTCAGCAAGATTGTCTTTGAGAATGCATTATCCAAGTTGAGTGTTTCAGATATCCACGCACCAACTTAAGGGGGAGTGTTAGCATATATGATAGCCACAATTTATAGAATGACTTACCATTATTGTAGAGATTGGACTATGCTATAGAATATGCTTTAGAATATGTTGTAATTTGATTTAGATTTGATTTAGTTTCCTTTCTTGTAATAAGAGCATGTGTTCTTTTTATCTATAAATATTAGAGCTATGAATAAGTGATTCATCTCATTCAAGCCTTTACACAATTCTCTCCTTTTTATATTTCTACTTAATGATAGGATCCAAGGGATTTTATCAAGAGAAATCAGAAAATAGAACAATAAAATAAGAAAAGAGAACAATGATTGATCACTTCGAGGGGATCTGGCCTCCAATATTTGCTTCAAGCAAATGTAATTTTCCTTGATGATTTAGCCATATGGCATCTACAGCTTTTTATAGAGGAAAATAAAGCTAAATATGGAAATCAAATCAAATAGAGCTAAATATGGAAATAGGAAATCAAATCAAGCTAAATATGAAAGAAGGAAATCAATCGCTAAGCATAATTCAAGGAAATTAACGCTAAGCGTAAGGACCAAGCAAAGGGGAAGATTTGAGAATCCTATCATTCCCCCGCCCTTAAAGACAACCTTGCCCTCAAGGTTGAGCACCAATGAAATCAGGAAATCGCTCCTTGATTGTTTCAATGTGGCATCTTCTGGAGGCATGTGTGCCCACTGGACGAGAATGTCGATGGCAGCCCGGTTATGACGTTTGAGAAGTCGACGATCCAGAATGGTAGTGGGCTGAGCATGGACCTCTCCCGTAAAAGTAATATCGGGCAAATGATGTTGTGGAAATACATGCTCGCTCAACTTCTTTTTCAGGCAAGAAACATGGAAGACTGGATGAATCTTGGAGTCCGGTGGAAGGACGAGATGATAGGCAACAGGACCAATGCGCTCCAGTACTTTATACGGCCCATAAAAACGAGGTGAGAGCTTCATGGACGACCGCACTTGGATAGAGATTTGACGGTAAGGCTGCAGATGGAGAAATACCCAATCACCAATGTTGAATTCATGTTCACTCCTATGCTTATCAGCCTGATGCTTCATGCGAGACTGTGCGGTGGTAAGATTATCCTTAAGAAGCCGCAAAATTTGAGTACGATGTTGAAGAACATGGTCAATTTGATCCACCAGCGATGAGCCTGAGTATAGGTTGGGAGAATTGTGGAAGGTCGCCTATAAACTGCTTCGAAGGGAGTCATTTTGATAGTAGAGTGATAAGTGGTGTTGTACCACCATTCGGCCCATGGAAGCCATCGTACCCACTCCTTGGGCTTATCTCCCGTGAAACAGCGCAAGTAGTTCTCCAAACACCGGTTCACCACCTCAGTCTGCCCATTAGTCTAGGGATGATATGAGGTGCTCATCTTCAACAGAGTGCCCTGCAAACGGAAAAGCTCTTTCCAAAAGTTAGAGGTGAAAATCTTAACTCGATCGCTTACTATTGATTGGGGAACTCCATGCAATTTGACAATGTTGTCCATAAAGAGATGGGCAATAGTTGAGGCCGTGTAGGGATGGCCGATGGAACAAAAATGAGCATACTTCGTTATGCAGTCCACCACAACAAAGATAGTGGTTTTACCATGGGAGGATGGTAAACCATTGATGAAGTCCATCGAGATATCTGTCTAAGTGTCGGCTGGAATAGGCAATGGTTGCAAGGGTCCTGGGCTTGCTACGGTTTCCCCCTTCTGTCGTTGACAAATTTTGCATTCAGCCACAAATTGTTTGACGTCACACTTTGTCCCTTTCCAATAAATTAGTCTGGAGATACGCTTATAGGTTCGGAGGAACCCCGAATGACCGGCACCAGGGGCTGCATGTAATGAGAGACCAAGATAATGCGCCCTTTGTAGCGGAGATGGTCCATAGCCAAGGAGTAACGTGGGACCGATGAGGGATCATAGGTCAGTCTCTGAACAATCTTTTGAAGCTCAGGGTCACATTGTTGCTCCTCCTTAATGAACTCAAGAGTAGACCATGTGGGTGTAGATATATGCTATGGAGCTCGGCTTGCTCTGGAATGCGGGAGGGTGCATCTGCCACTAAATTCTCTCATTTTATCTCCATGTTGTGCTACTCCAACTATCTTCCGAATGTGATCATTTCTAATTCTATCCTTTCTAGTCTTACCATACATCTCAACATTTGCATTCCTGCCACACTCAGTTTACATATTTTGTTTCCTAGCTGCCCAACATTCTATGCCATAAAGTCTAATAGTTGTTCGATTGAACTTTCCTTTCAAGGGACATGCCTATCACACAATATGCTAGATGTAATCCTCCATTAGTCCAGGCCGAAAGGCGTAGTCGATGGACAAATCTTGCCATAATTCTATGATTAATGTCATTTCTCCTTCATTATGAATTATTGGGCCTAAATATCGAAAATTTTCACTTTTTATGTACCTCTTGATTCTCAATCCTCACTACATTCTCATTTGTACCTCTAAATTTATTAAAGTTACACTCCATGTATCTAGTTTTATTTCTACCTATCTTAAACCCTTTTAATTCTAAACCTTCTCTCCAAACCTCCAATTTGGCATTAACTCCTCTACTCTCATCGACTAAAACAATATCATCAACAGTGTTGTTAAAGGCACGCCTAGGCTTGAGGCTCAGGTTTAGCGCCTGTTGTTATCCCAGGCTCACTGATGTTTACTAGGCGCGCGCCTCGGTTGCGCCTCGTCCTGTTTGTGAGGTGCGCCTCACTGATATTTGTTTAAAAAAATACGATTGTTCTATTTCTCAAGCCAAAAAGGGTACTTTTGGCAACTTAATAAACAAAAAAGAAAGCTCAACCATACGATATAAGGAACTTTTGTTCAAAAGAATAAAAAAAAAAAGAAAGCCCAAGAGTAAAGTGTTAACCGAACAACGATAGAATGAGATTGTGAGACGAAGACGAAGCCCTAATTGCAGAGATGAATGACGAAGCCACATCAGTTCTTTTTTTTTTTTTTTTTTTTTTTTCTTTCTTCTCCTCTAGATCTCTCCTCTCTTCTTATCTTTGTTTACATCTCTCTCTCTTCGTCTAGTTCTCTCCTCTGTTTTTTTTTTTTTTGTTAACAAATTTTTATTTTTTATTTTATTTTTATTTTTATTTATTTATTTTTTTTGCCATTCAAAAAACACATTTTGCTTTGCCTTTCAAGAAAACAAATTTGTGCTATGTTTTATGGTTGTTGGATGCTTGTATAGTTGATGGATTTACTTTTTTATATTTGATATTAATTTTTAGAATATTGATATGACTTATGAGATATGAATGTTAGTATGGTACTTAAATTTTCAATTGTGCGCCTTACTTCACTCAGGTGCGCGCCTCGCCATGCGCCTAGGCTCCAAAGGACCTCTAGCACCTTGGGCCTTTAATAACTATGATCATCAGCAAATAACTTTCGCATTGTTGTCAACGAGGGAGGTTAATTTGGTTACGCTTGAAAGTGGGCAAGTACTGGATGGTGGTTGATGGAGATGGGAACGGCATCCAATACCACTTTCGCTATCCCATCAACATCACACGGCTATACCTGATCAGATCCAACCACCACTGTACATCACATTTCTCAAAGAAAGCACCTCACATTTCTCAAAGAAAGCAAAGCACCTCACATTTCTCAAAGAAAGCACTCACTATTATGGCTGAAACAACCATTCTGACTCATGTACTGGCCCAATTCAGCCAGCAAGTCTCTGCCACAAATCTCCAATTACTTATTTAGCCACGTCAGTATCTACTTGTCTGCTTGTGTTAACAGTCCATCCTTTGCAATTTGCAGTTCAATTGAGTGAATGGATTGGGAGTGTATGCCTTGAAACAACGGGTTTTTTCCCCCGAAACTCCAAGGGAGTCATATTCCTGATTGTTTAATGTGTACATGAAAATTCTGGTAGCCATTCGCAAACAAAGGATTTTATTCCAAAACTCCAAGGGAGACATATTCCAGATTGTTTGATGTGTACATGAAAATTCTGGTTGCCAATGGCAATCGGCTGATATGGAGTTGAAGATAAGGACATGGACGATGGTGGTGAATCAAGGTGGGGGCGATGGCTGAAATAGCACAGGGAGGGGTGATAGTTGTGAGGGGAGGTGGTGTCGGTCCAAGAGAAAAATGATAGGAGAAGAACAGCAAAGAGAGGAAGCAGGTTTCACTATCTTTTATCAGAAATACAAGTATAAGTTACTGGTGTAACTTTAATTTCACAAATTCTGATCTTTTACTTTTTTCTTCTTCTTTTTTTTTTTTTTTAATTTAAATAAAAGAAAAGTCATACATTTAATTTCGCATTATTGGTAATGGAAATCTAACGCCCTGGCCTGATTTGCATATTTTGAATTGCAAAATCATGATAGTTCAAGGTTTTGTTTATTATTTTATTTTTTATCAATATACCCTAATTTTTTTTAATGGGGAAACTGCAGCCTTTGTTTGCAGTTCCTGTAAGATATACTAAATTTCCTGGTATTACAGGTTGAGCCTGGACACACAGTCCTTGTTCATGCAGCAGCTGGTGGAGTTGGGTCTCTATTGTGCCAGTGGGCAAATGCCCTGGGTGCCATTGTTATTGGAACCGTCTCAACCAAAGAGAAGGCTGCTCAAGCCAAAGATGATGGATGCCACCATCCCATAAATTACAAAGAAGAGGACTTTGTTAGCTGTGTCAACGAGATAACTTCCGGGAAAGGGGTTGACGTTGTCTATGATTCTGTTGGAAGAGACACCTTTCAGGTAATGGCTATTCTAACCTTATTAGCATATATCTAACAATGGTGAAAACTGGTTTTAGCCAGGTGGCTTTACGTCTAATTAAAGTAAATCAAGGATCAACTAAAGACTCGTCAACTAAAGGACAATCCAAACACAAGAACTATCATATAGGCCTGGTGAATTATTATCTTTTTAACCCGGGTCCTAATCAATCGAACCTGGTTTTCTTAATTTCAGCTAGGCTTGGTTTGGCTTATAGAATTCATTTGTACTTCATATTTCTCAATTTAAAAGCCAGCTTGGTGGCATAAAAAAACTCGACCCACATTAAGCAGGATCAGATGGATCAGGTGGGCATGTTGGATTTTAAGTTCTGTGAGTAGTAGTCTCTAATATAGACGTTATTGTGTTCAGGGATCATTAGCATCCTTAAAGCCTCGTGGATATATGGTGAGTTTTGGGCAGTCATCCGGTACACCAGACCCTCTTCCTCTGTCAGCACTTGCGCCAAAATCACTGTTCTTGACTAGGCCTTCCCTCATGCAATACACTGCAACACGAGAGGAGCTGTTGGAAGCTGCTGGAGAGTTATTTGCTAATGTTGCATCAGGTATCCTACGAGCCCGTGTAAACCACACATACCCATTATCTCAGGCAGCACAAGCACATTCCGACCTCGAGAGTCGGAAAACATCCGGATCTGTTGTGCTGATACCAGACAGCAACTCGCAGTAAATCCATATCTCCAACCATCCTTATTCCCTCCTTGAAGGGGAAAAATTTCTGGTTGGCATCATTGGATTGTGCAATGAACATGAAATGTAATTACATGTTGGATCATTGTACTACCTGATGTGTGAAACTTATTACCTGAGATGAGAGCATTTTCATATTCTGTTATCATGGATGATAAAACTGTAACATGAAAAATCAAACAATTGATATCTTATATTATTGATGTTGGTCCTTTGTTTTGGTTCTTTTGCTCATGGATGTGTTAGCTATTTTTCTCTTTGGTCTGTGTAGTTTTAATGTTTTAAATTGATACATGTTCTGAAGCAGATCCATCAGAGGGTGAGCTTCAAGTTGACTTGAATTCTAATTTCATGTACTATTGTCAAACAATCAGACAAGCACTTAAACATGCTATGAGATGTGTGCATAAATACGCTTATTCTTTTGATTTAAGTTTATTATATGTACTTGTATTTGAAACTTTCTTATTATAAAATTTGTTCCCAATTTTTTTTTTTCTCACATAAGAGGTAAAACCCCCCACACTTTACAGGTGAGACTAATCCAACTTAGGCACATGTAACACTCTATTTGATTGTGTGAATCGGGACACAAGTATGTACCCACTAAAGTCACGAATTTGTTTGGTTAAAAGGCCTGTTTGGCAACCACAGTTAATATGTGCTTTTGCTTTGACCCGAAACAGAAATAATGTTTTTGTTTTTAAAGTGTGTTCAATACTATTTAAAAACTTGTTTGGTAACGTAAATTTGTTACAGAATTTTTAGAAGTAAAAACATGAAAGTATGTTTGGTAAAAAGTGTTACAAGTTTGAAAATTTGAATGCTTAGTTAAAAATGTTATTTTAGAAAGGAAAATTTTTTTCTAAAAATAACTTTTTAAACTAACCATTCAAATTTTCAAACTTGTAACATTTTTTTACCAAATATGCTTTCATGTTTTTACTTTTAAAAATCTTGTAACAAATTTACGTTACCAAACAAGCTTCTAAATTGTGTTGAACACACTTTAAAAGCGGAAACATTATTTCTGCTTTGGGTCAAAGCAAAAACACAAAGCAACTTTGGTTGCCAAATGACTCGTAATTTTTTTATTTATTGAAATTTCCATTTGAACTCCCCTCCCATGTTTTGTTCTCTGGCACAATGTTCCCTGGACAAATTTTGGACTTTGTACAGTTTCTTATATCATTACATTTGCTTAACTTTTCCAAAAATAATACTAATACTAAAATCCATTTGAAGAAAAAATTCGAAGGCATATTTGGTTCAGCATTCTAGAATAGTTTTCTGTTTGAAGAAGAGAACATGAAAATTAAAAACTCTACAGAAACTTTTTTTTTTTTTCCTCCCTAGTTTGTACAGAATTTATTTGGTTGGCAGTTTTTAAAAAATTGTTTTTCAAAAACTCTATTTTCTGAACCAAATGGTCTTTCAATTTTTTATTTGGATAACCGGGTGTCCGAGGCTTTTGTGGATCCGTGCAAAGGTACCTCTCCACACGCATCAGGTAAGGATTGGACTATGTTTGCGTCCGCAACCCCTAAGAAATTGATCGCATTCGAGAGAACTCAAATCTGAGACTTAATGTTTCATGACGCACTAAGTCCCAGACTTCACTGTTGGAGTCAACCCCTTGGGGTTAATAGTCTTTCAATTTTTGGTAGTCTTAGGGATCAAAATCATGGTCCATGGCTAGGGCTGCAAAGGAATCAAGTCAAGCCGAGCTTGGCTCGTGACGAGTTCAAAAAATTGAGCTCGGGCACAGGCTGTGGCTAGGACTCAGGCTCTTCTTGATTTAAAAAAACTTAGGCTCGGCTCGTTTAAGAAAACAAGTAAAACTCAAAGCTATGATTTTTACCTCTGAAGAAAAACAGTACATCTGCAACACAAGCAGTGATATAAAATTATTTTATGGTACTTTGGTCTTCTCTTTTCTTCCGACAACCAGACTTGATTTAGGGCTTTAAGGACTTCAAAGCAAGGGGTTCTCTACGTCCGATCTTTGGTTTGTTTGTTTAAGTCATATTTATGGTTGACTTATGCAATTCCTAGTAAATGTTTTATCAGTTATAAGCAGTTGAATTTTGAAATAGATTTTGGGTGTATGGAATGAATGGGGTTTTTTTGACTGGAAATTTTATAACGTAGACAAATTCAGAAAAAAAAAAAAAGAAAAAAAAAAAGAGAGGATTTGAAGGGATTTGATAACCTACTATTACTCATGTCTTTAACTTACCGAAATTATCCCTATCTCTCTCTATCTTTCTACGTTTCTCCTCTCATCCCTCCCTTATCTTTTTAGTCTTGATTCTTGAATCTATCTGTACATAGTGTAATCTTTGTAGTACACTATTTTTGTTTTTTTATTTTATTTTATGGGTTTGGTCTAAATTTGCAAACCGATGCAAATATACATTATTATACACATTTATTAGGTTAAAAAAATACATAAATATATATCGTAAAATGGAACAAGATTTGAATCCAAATGTTTGAATGTTTTAGCCTTTATGCTGTACTGACTCTTCGAAAATGTTCTTAATGCCGTATTGATTTAGGGTTTGTAAAGACTTCAATGTTTCCTTGATTGATTCTAACACTATTTGTGTGTGTATTTGGTGTGGAAAGGGTTTATAGAGGGGTTAGACACATCCAAGAGTAAGTTGAATAGATGTTGGTTTGCTTATGAAAAAAAAAGAAAAAAGAAAAAAAAGAATATTGGTTTCATTATAGAATGATATATGGAACAAGCATGCTAATTTCAGAAGAATGGTGATACGGAGTGCCGAAGTCGTGGACTACACACCCCTCTCTCATGTTCGACTTTCAAACTTCAATATGGAGGGAAAATTTTCCATCACATAAAACGCCACGTGGCAACAAACTAAGCAAAAGGGTGGTTAGCTGCATTGGGCCGAGGAGAGAAGTCCAAACCAAGCTAAATAATAAAAGGCCCAGAAGAATCACACCAAGTGAAGATTCGACCCAAAAAGTAAAGACCAGCCCAATTCAAAACCTTGGTCAACATGGTCGGGAGTAACGCTGAATGAATATATTAACTACCCACTCCACCACATGGTATGATATTGTCCACTTTGGACTTGAGTTCGCACGGTTTTGCTCTTAGACTTCACCCCAAAAAGCCTTATACCAATTGGAGATGATACACTTACATATAAGCACTTCACCTTTCCTTCTCCCAAGCGATGTGGGACCTGTGCACCCGTAACTCGCCAATGTAGTAGACTGACAGTATCTCTCACACCCGCCCACAGCACACCCGCCCATAAGGTCATCACAATCCACCCCACTTGGAAGCTCGACGTCTTCGTCGACACACTTTCAGTTGGGTCAGGTTCTGATACCATTTGTATGTAAGGCACAATCACGGCTCCAAAATAATCTCACTCCACGAATATAAATACAGGGGCAAGACCCAATGGAAAGGCATTCGATTCCCGATTCTATAAGCCCTTATTCTTCCTTGATCTAATTTCCTGTCTTCTATTTCTGTTTGTATGTTTTTCAATTAAGTGTTTGAGTGTAAAATCATTTGGGTAGAAAATACTACAAAGCAACACATCTTTTAGTCTTCTATTTTTGTTTGTATGTTTTTCGATGAAGTGTTTGAATGTAAAATCATTTGGGTCCAACAATTATCAATAGGATGAGCTAATATTTTTTTAGGTGGGCTAATACTAGTAATAATTGTTTTTTGGTTTGGCAAAAATTGACTATAATAATTTTTTTTTTTATTTTTTGGGTGGGCTTGTGCCCACCTCAAAATACGCCCATGGTTGAAACTCGAAATAATAATCATGAAAAAGAGCTTTTAACACAGTTAAATTTTGTTTCAATACATTTGTTTTAGATTATTTATTTATTTTTATATTTTTCATTGGCAAAAACTCAGGCATTGTATGTTCTTATGTTCTTACTGGTACTTGAATTCGCACCTTCCATTTTTAAGAAGTAAAGAAAATACTACGATACAACACATCTTTTAGTCATTTGTTAAAGATTCAACACATAAGATTTTGAATATTTTAAGTGCATATGTTGAAAATTTTTGCAGCACGCCAAAACAACAATTCCTTGCAACTCGAGGATCCAAATACCCATTCAACATTGTGAGAGCAATAGCGTGCAGAGGATGATAACAATACCAATATAGAAGAATTGTGCAAAAGTGACAAAATCAAAGTCATACATAGCCAAAGCAAGAGTTCGAACTCCAAAGCACTAATCAGAACAGTACGATATATCCACTTTTACAATACGTATCTTCCACTTATTGATTAGACATCATGAATTAATTCAGAAATGCTTTCCACTTGATTTCTTAGAAAATCCTTGAGACGTTTACCATATAATGCATATCAGTCGTTCGACAAGACGTCAACAAGACTCAAAATTCTTCTGGTTCCCTGTTATATGTGACAGACTGTCCATTAAGGCATGTTAATGGAAATTACTTCTATGACTGATGAAGAAATTGAGTTGCCACAAACGACTTTGACGAGGACCTTGACTTAGGAACCATGATTTACTTCAAGAAAAATGCTATATTTTCAGTATTTCATTTCTCAGCTCTATATATGTGCATAAGTTCATAACCATAATTAATTTGTGTTGTTGCTGCTTTATTTTGATTCCCAATTGTCATCTTTTCAGTTACTGAAAATGATCAATAGAGAGAGTTTCCTTAAATTTCTCCACATGATTGTTGTTGCGCTACTTCTACTATGCATGAAAATGAAACCAGCTCCTGGGTTATTCACTTCGGGAATTGGAGATGATGCTAATGTGAGATGCGTAGAGAGGGAGAGACAAGCTCTCCTTCATTTTAAGCAGGAGCTCATTGATGATTGTGGTCTTCTCTCTTCTTGGGGGAGCACAACAGGAGAGAAGAAAGACTGCTGCAAATGGAGAGGAGTCCAATGTAGCAACCGCACTGGTCATGTCATTGTGCTTGATCTTCATGTCCCACCCCCTCTCTACGAATTGTATGGTGCTTATCAGCCTTTGAGAGGTAAGATTAGTCCTTCATTGTTTGATTTGCAGCATTTAAAGTATTTAGACCTCAGTTACAATGATTTTGAAGGGAGCCGCATCCCAGAATTCATTGGTTCCTTTAGTAGATTACAATACCTCAACCTTACAGGGGCTGGCTTTTCCGGCAAAGTTCCTTCTCAGTTTGGGAACCTTTCGGAATTGTGCTCTCTTGATCTCAGCCGTAATGATTTGAGTGTAAAAAATCTTAAGTGGCTTTCTCATCTTTCTTCATTAAGATACCTTGATCTGAGTTCCGTTGACCTTAGTGAAGCAACTGATTGGATGGAGGCAACTAGTAATCTTCCTCTTTTAACAGACTTGCACTTGTCTTCTTGTAGACTGCGTGCTGTCATTCCCTCCACTCTTTTGTTGATTAATTCTTCAAAGTCTCTTGCTTCCCTTAATCTCTCTGTGAATTCTCTCACATCTTCAATATTCAGCTGGTTGTGCAACTTCAATAGCAGTCTTGTTGAAGTGTATCTTTCTCAGAACAACTTGCAAGGTCTGATTCCAAATGCTCTTGGAAACCTGAAGTTCCTAACCCATCTTGATCTCTCTTCCAATCACCTTGAAGGCGGAATTCCAAAATCTTTTGGGAACTTGAGTAGTTTACAAACATTACATCTGTCACAAAACAATTTAACAGAACAGCTTCCTAAGTTTGTTCAGAACTTGTCAGGGCCTGTGGAGAACACATTAGAGATTTTGCAATTGAGTGAGAATAAACTCAGTGGTTCATTACCGGATATTACAAAATTTTCAAACTTGAGGGAATTGTATCTTGATTATAATCAATTGAATGGATCTTTCCCGGAAAGTTTTGGACAAATTTCCACCATTGTTGTTCTAGATCTGTCTGAAAATTGTATTACGGGGTCATTGCCTCGTCTTACAGTATTTTTATCATTGAGAGAGTTGCATCTGTCGAACAATCAGATAAATGGGACACTAACTGAAGCCCACTTCTCCAATCTCTCCAACTTACAACACTTGGACTTATCTTTTAACTCGTTGGTTTTAAACTTCAGCTCTGATTGGATTCCTCCTTTTCAGCTGGATGTCATAAAGTTGCGCTCTTGCCAGTTGGGGCCTCGTTTCCCAAACTGGCTTCTAACTCAAAACAATTATTCTGAGCTTGATATCTCTGGTGCTGGAATTTCAGATACTGTCCCTAAACGGTTTTGGGATTTATCCCCCAAACTGGCTTACCTAAATCTCTCATTCAACCAGATCAAGGGAATGGTGTACGATTTGTCATTAAATAATCTCTATAGAGATCAACTTCATATAGAGATAGATTTGAGCTGTAATCATTTTGAAGGTCCCATACCACTTTATGATCCCAGTGTGACATCATTGCATCTCTACAACAATACGTTTTCAGGGTCAGTTTCTTCCTTATGCAAGATGAAAAGTGTGTCTTTTACTACTGCTATAGACCTCTGCATTAACCAACTATCAGGAGAGCTTCCTGACTGTTGGATGCATATGGAAAACTTACTCATTCTTGATTTTGCTAACAATAATTTGACTGGGAGAATTCCTAGCTCTATTGGCTTCCTCCATCAGCTTCAAACCTTGAATTTGCGCAACAATAATTTTATTGGGGAATTGCCTTCGTCCTTGAAGAATTGCCGAAATTTGATACACTTGGATCTAGGAGAAAATAAATTATCCGGAAAAATACCCGCGTGGATAGGGTCAAACCTAACAAAAATGATGGTTCTTAGTCTCCGATCGAACGAGTTCTCTGGAAGCGTACCTGTTAATATATGCCATCTTAACAAAATTCGTATCTTGGACCTCTCTCAAAACAATATATCTGGAAATATACCACGATGCGTCAACAATTTCACATCTTTGGTTCAAAGGGATAATGATGATGAAGAAATTGCCATCCTTTATCCACAAATTAATCGTATTTATCATGTGGATTATGTGGACAGTGCATTGTTGCTATGGAAAGGACAAGTCTATGAGTACCAAAATACTCTAGGACTAGTAAGAGGCATTGATCTATCATGCAATAAATTGACTGGAAAAATTCCTGAAGAAATCTCGAGTCTTGCAGAATTAATCTTCTTGAACCTATCGAGGAACAATTTGACAGGAACCATTTTTCAAAAGGTTGGGCAGTTGGAAAAGTTAGAAATTCTTGATTTGTCCCAAAACCAGCTTTCTGGTGAGATTCCTTCAGGCCTTGCTCGTCTAACTTTTCTTAGTGTCTTGGACTTGTCATATAACAATTTGTCTGGCAAAATTCCATCAAGCACTCAACTGCAGAGCTTTGATGCTGCTTCTTATACTGGGAATCAAGAACTTTGCGGGCTTCCACTACCTAATAAGTGCCCAGGAGATGATTCAGATGCTGTAGATCCTTCTTCCATTGATGATTGCCAAAAAGACAACAACATTCAAGAGGACAGCTTCATAACCCCTGAATTTTATATCAGCATGGGGTTAGGTTTTGGTGTTGGATTTGGGGGATTATTTGGGACTTTAGTGCTCAAAAGGACATGGAGATATGCTTATTTCAAGTTGTTGAACAACATAACAGATTGGCTCTATGTGACAGCAGCTGTGAATATGGCTAGACTGCAGAGGAGGCTTCAAAGCTAATTGGTAAACATCTTTTTCACTTTTATTCTTTTCTTTTGTTTTATGGGTTACGTGAAGTTGTCAAAGGAACTTTTTCAAATTCTAAACTAGGATCTGATATTGCATAACTCAGACAAATGTGTGCTTCGCTGTAGTTCTTTTGCATAATTTAAACTATGGCTAATTAAATATGCCTAAATTGATTTTAACATTGTTTGGCTATGTCACATTCAAATCTCAGGCTTTACATGATGTCAAGGCTACTAATAACAGCACCACCAGATTATCACTGAATAAAAAAGAGTTGTTGCTCAGTTTATGAACTAGTTATGGTTGGCGGCTTTTACTTTGCTTAAATTGATTCTAACATTGTTTTACTTGTTTTTTGCTCTGTTTTTTCAGTGCAAGCTACTACACCCAACAAAATGAGCTTTTGTTCCTCTAGAAGAACATGAAACGGCCTTTTGGGTATCTATGTTCAGCTACCTCCTTTCTGTATTTCTTGAAGAAAATAATTTTATAAATATTTTTTATGTATTTCATTTTGGAACTAGTTTGTGTGTGCTTAAAGACTTCCATAATTTATTTTGAACCATTTGTGTGATGATTGATGATTAAATAGTTTGTCTATCTCATGTTTGTACTCTTCGCAGTTGTGGATTATTGACCTTGATTAAACCTAATGCCCTGTTTCCAAATTTTAAATTCTACCGAATTAGTAATCCCTTAATAAGCACTTCTGCTTCATCAATTTGACTAGGATTTCAGAAGTAAAAAGATGTATGACTAGCTCCTCCTATCTATTTCTTGAAAAATGTAACATTATATATATATATATATATATATATATATATATATATATCTCAGTGTGCACAAGGGTCATCCATGGCTTAATTTTGACAATTTTCATGCAATACATATAATACATTATTTTTATGTACTCTTTAGCACATGAAAATCATACCTAATTAATAAACTCTTTGTAAACATTTGTGCACTCTTGAACCCCTAGGGTTTTGCACACCCACCTCTGCACTTAGTAAACTTAATACTCCTTCAAATCGCTACTTTAGATAGCATGATTGTACCCCTTTAATTGTACATCTTTATATGTGGTTGGCCTGTATTTCATTGCTCTTAAATTATTTGAACTACACATACTCTTAACAACTAAAATTTAAGAAGATATCATAGTAGAGCAGGAAAGAAGACTTGGGAAGTGTGACAATCTCTAAAATTTATAAAACACATGGGTTACGTTAAGATTGTTTGCAGCCAGATTTGGTTGAGTTATGCAAATTTGTACTCCTCAAATGGTTTGTAGCTAGAAACACTCATCTCACTATTTTGTACCTCATGTTCTTCTCGGTACTGAATATAGGCAAACCTTTGCATAAATGCTAATAATTGGTATCGGTAGTCATGAATCTAAATTAGTATGATTATAAGGAAGCACCTATAAGCACAAAAGCAACCATCATTTTTTTCCTGAAAAATAACACATTCACTCATTTTGTCCATGGAATTTGAACCTTTAAACTACTTCAAGAAGTTGAGACCACAAACTTCACGCACGTGCAACTATTAATTAGTAACCTGATCTTTGCATCAAAGAAACAGTATCATTCAAAATTGGTGAGGGTGCTTGAATGGAAGAGAGTTCTGAGATGATGGAATGCCACCCTCCTTAGCTGCAGAATCTTTCTCCAGCTCCTAGAAGCATTTGTTCTTCATCAGGTAACTTATCGCCCACTGCACCTATATACCTATAATAGAGCCCAAATGTGCTTTAACATTGCTGCCTAGTTAGTTAGTTCAAAGGTTGGAAGCCCTAACCCCCTTGCATTTTGGTGTGCATTTCTTGTTTTGTTGGATTGCAGAGTGGTTACTGTGGGCCGTGGGGTTTTCCTGCTGACTATGAGTGTGAAGTTACGGAGAATGGTGCTCCATTGCACCAACCAGGTCCTTTCCCTGGAGTTCTACAAGACATTGGAGGCGGTACCTCAGGCGCATTGGAGGCTACAGGATGAGCCTTTTATCACTTCCAGTGAGTCGCAACCAAAGTAGTGTGCTGCTTGCACTTGTTTTGATTCTTTATCTAGAAATGTTGTTCCAAAGCTGAAATCATCTTTTATGCTGTCTTATTCGTGTTTGTTTTGTCAAAATAGTTTGTCTATTGGATCGAACAGAATTTATGGGTAAGACAATCTTAAACCATTAATAATAACCTCTAATTGAAATTCAAACAGGCCCTTGGTGAAACTTGCTTAATTGCTTACAGAAGGTCTCAGACTGAGAATGTATTACTGATTATTTCATTTTAACCATAGTTTTAATTCGCGAGTCATCGTCAGACTTTGGTGTAGTTCCAATCTGATGTAAGTTACTGAATTTACAACCTAATTTGAATGTATTACTGATTATTTCATTTTAACCATAGTTTTTGTTGTTTTTTGAAAAATTATAGTGTGTTCGATCAAAATAGAATATATTTTTAGTCTTGCAGCCAGATTTATAGATGAATTCATGAAAACTTCCTCTGTTTTCCTGCTTTTTAATTTATACCTCTAACAATATATAGGAGTATGTAAACGGTGAGAATATCTTGAATTTGAATTGACCAAATTTGTTTTAAGGTCTGGGTTTGTGTAAAGCCCTTGAAAATTTGAAATCCGATTCCAACAGTAAATTCTAGTGAAATTCGATTCTCCACAATTATGTAGTTCATGAAATCCAACCAGTCCTGAGGGTCAGTATATTTTCCAAAATTATACGAGCAGGAAATTCAACTAGTGACTGAACACTTTGATTTTTACAGCAAAACTCAGTATATTTGCAAACTAGTGACCAGTATAAGAATGAATTTGAGAGTAACAAGCACTAGTGACTGAACTCATTGGTGCTTTCGTGATTAAACGCATTTGAACTAAATTTTCTTCGAATTCAATTCTAAGGCACAAATTTTATGCAACCGAAGATGGCGTTAATACTTTCGGCATAGACATTTTTGTTAGTTGATAGGGATAGGGAGTTATGGGGATGGAAATCAGTTCTATTGTTTCAAAAAGGAGTGTCTTAATGGGAGAATGCATGGTTTTCTAGGTGCAATTAGATGGTGATTCGGGTAACTGTATTGGATGCAGGTGTGTGTCTAGGTGTCCGACCTACTAGAATCCAAATTTCAAGGTACCAGATATGTGTCCAAAAGTTGGATATGTGTATGCATTTAAATACATTTATATGTTTTTATGGAAGTGCTATTTAATTTAATGCTGTTTTAAATGTATATTATCATTACATCAAGAAACAAAACTCTTATGGTCCCCTGTTATATGTGACAGTCCACTAAGGCATGTTCATGCCGTGTTGACCACTTCATTCACTGAATGATACTTCTTCCATGAAGTATATCTGCAAATATCTAGCATTATAGCCACTAGTAGTTTCTGTCATTTCATTCGGAAAAAAGCAGACTAGCATTACAGCCAGACTAGTATATCTTTATTCCAAGGTTGAAAAGTGTTTAGGAATATAATTTTGGAAATCTTTCAGTGCAGCTTAAGATATAAATAAAGGTCACTGCATGGCTGAGGGAAATAAAAAGAAGTATATCTGCAAATCCTTAGTGATTAGGGCTTTGCTGCTTAACCATGTAAACTACAGAGTTATGAACAGTAGCTTAGCAACCAAAGTCCCAATCATGCATAGGTCAGTTAAATGAAGACCCTACTGTGCCTCTAAAATAAGTTTTAAACTCATGCTATAATTCATTAAATTGCTAATTTAGACTTAGACGGTTACATCCTTTCCATCCATAACTAGCATGCAAAGTTGTTTAAGTTCTTCTTGTTCCTTCCATTTGCATAATTGTATAATTGTATCACTTATGCATTGAGAGCTTATAAAACACCTATGTTACATGTTAAATACCTCAGTCCACTTCCTACACAGTTCTAGACTCAGAAATCATCCAAACAGTGCACCCGAAAACCCAGTACACATCAAAATAGGAGAGCATGCTCTCAAAACTCGAGAGTCGGCTCTAGACTCCCCAGAGCTGGCTCTGGAGATGAGGAAGCCGGCTCCCTCCTCCATGGAGCCGACTCTTTCTCTCTCTGAGAGCCGTCTTTAACCTCCGCAACTTCTGCGACCTTCTGCTTCGTCTCGGTCGCTTCCAACCTGTCTGATTGTTTTAACACTGACCCTAGAAGTCCTAAGTGTGTCCAGTATCATCCTACTTCATTATTCAGACCAATTTGCATCATTAAACTTCTTTAACACTTACTGATTAAAACATGCTAAAGAAAACAAATACTGTAACCAAACTTGCAGAAATCATCACAAAACTAATTCAAAGCATACATATGATTAATTTGACATATAACAAGCATGCACGATTCAGTTATTGATCCATTAAAACCCTAGAGCATATCTAGGTGCACAGAACACAGGCCAACGGGAAAGAGGAGGAAAAGAACTTGCCTGTGATTTCAGTTATGAAATCCCGGCGTCGTGTCCACGTTTCCGGCAACACTGGAATACTGTCTAGCCTCCTCTTACTTCTACTCTTCCCTTCTCCTAGGTCCGACCTTGAAGCCTTAGTCGAAATCCTCACCAAACGTGCTCTGTTCTCTCAAAACCTCACTCTGTATCTCACTGTGCTTTGATACGTGAATAGGGTTTTTCCAACCCTTCCTACAGACTATAACCGTGCATATATAGGCACAAGTATAACCTAATTCTAATGATAATCCAAGACAGAAACCCTAATCTAAGTTAAACCCTAGTCAGCCCATAGGATAAAACCCTCGTTCTAAACTTTGTTTGCTTCCACCTACGAGACTTCTAACAGAATCTCTAAAGAATTTATTAACGTAATTTAAATACTCATTTTACCTAATAACATAATTAAACCTTTATACTAATTAATTAAGGACACACAAATAATAAAAACAATTTAGACAATTTAATTAAATCAAGTAATACAAGTAAAGCAAATAATGTAATTAAATCAAATTATCCAAACTTTAAATCAAGCAATACAAGTAAAACAAATAATGCAATTAAATCAAATAATCCAAACAAGTTAATTAACCAAGCAACAAGACAATTAAATACTTAAAAATGCAAACAAAATAATTAATTAAAATACCAGGACTATCCTTTTAAAATTAGGGGTATTACATATACCAACACTAACATATATATATACACACAAGCACAACACCAAACTACAAAATCTACAAGAATCAGAAGTTCAAAACCCATATATTTCAGTTTGGCATAAGTAATAGCAATAGCTATAGTTTGTGCTATATTTGGCACAAGATTTGGCAAAGTTATATTTTGGCAGCCCATTGGAGAGCCCAAGTTAAACCCACCTGCTATATTTTGAAATTGACAGCCCATTTAACATTGCATTGGAGTTGCTCTAACCTGTGAGTGGATGAATTCTCGTATATTTGTTGTTTTTTAGTTCTGGATTTTTATGAGATGAATGGTGGAGAAAATTAAATTTTTGACAGCAAAGGGCGACCTCTTCTATCCAAAGGGGTGGGGGAGGTTGAGATTTTGAGTCCTAGTCTCACAAGAGACATTGTATATTATGGCTGGCTTTAATGAACTATGACCTCCTTTTCATTGCATATTGTTTAGTTACCTTCCAATCATAATTCTGGTAGCATTATTCAAAAAAAAAAAAAAAAAAAAAAAAAACTGGCTGCATCACATACAATCTTTGATAACAAATATTATCAATAGATTTTTGTACTCTGCCTTAAAGACAAATTGTTTAAGACATACCCTTTTCATTGTCCCAACATTTGCCCAATGGCCTTAGCATAAAC